GGAGCAACCAAGGTCATTCAAAGCCTTATCCTCGCTGCTCTAGAGATTGTCAACACCCTACCTCATCCTTTGATCGAATCTCACAAAGAACACGTAACTGTCTCGCACGTTGANACCCGGTCAAGCTCATCAGCTCCACCCGGTCAAGCTCATCAGCTCCACCCGGTCAAGCTCATCAGTGTGGTCAGTCCGATCAAGCTCAGCAGCTCAAGGAGCTAAGGGAGCAACCAAGGTCATTCAAAGCCTTATCCTCGCTGCTCTAGAGATTGTCAACACCCTACCTCATCCTTTGATCGAATCTCACAAAGAACACGTAACTGTCTCGCACGTTGAGAAGAGCTCGCCAGATCCAACAAACTAACCAGTTAGTTGCTAACACCTCGCCCAAATCTGTCAGGAGGGTGACTATAAATTGTAAGTCCCACCAACACTTGAGGGGCATGACAACACACTTTACCTGAACATGATTCTCTCCTCTCCCTCAAAGCTTGTACTCTCTGCTCCTCATACCCTTGAGCTAATAAAGTACCCAGCGACCAGAGCCATTCAAGAGTGGACGTAGGTTACGTTGACCGAAACCACTATAAATTGCTTATGTCTCTCCATCTCCTTACTTTACTCTTGCATTTATTATTCACACTTAATAGGTGGTGTGCAAAACTATTTTGTGCATCATCAGTTTGACACCGTCTATGAAAAATGACAAAATTCTCACTCCTAAATATTTCATTTGCTGAACCAATGACGATCACTACCAGATCCATGAACCAACCTGAAGACAATCCTCCACGAGATGAGGAGGTTACTCCTCCACCTACCAACTTTGTCCCAAATGCTCCAGCTCCAAATCCACAACAAATGCTAGAGACCATGCGACAGCTAGTAGTCCAAAACCAGCAGATACTGCAACTCATGCTCGCTGGACAAGGAGGAGCACAACTTGGAGGTGCACACCATGGAGGACCCCAAGGAGCTCCACGCCTTGGACCTCAAGGAGCTCCACACCCTAGACATCAAGGAGCTCCGCGCCCTGGACATCGAAGAGCTCCATGCCCTGGACATCAAGAAGCTGCATGCCCTGGACATCTAGGAGCTCCACAACTTGCTGCTCCTCATTTGGGCGCCCATGCAAGTCTGGGCGCCCTTTTTGGAGTCTCCTTGGGCGCCCCACACAGGGGAGCCCCTCATAAAGGACCTCCTGCTTCCCATGGTAAAGACCCTCATCTCTAAGAAGATGAGAGCGAAAACCAAAGCATAGAGCATGAGAGTCATTTTTATGAACATTTCAGAGGAGCCCCTAATCACTAGGACGAGAAAATTAAGGAAGTGCAAAATCAACTAGGTGACGTCTTCAACACCATGAAGGCGTAAGGACCTGAGAAAGTGGACTACCTCGTAAGGCAGATAGACACGCTTTTCAAACTTGACATGGCGATCTACCCCCTCCCTCAAAAGTTTAAAATGTCATCCGTGGAGACCTTTGACAAAACAAAGGATCCACTTGATCAACTCGAAACCTACAAGTCCTTAATGCAACTACACAACATCCCCAACGAAATTATGTGTAGGACATTCCCAACTACCTTGAAGGGATCAGCGCGACAATGGTTCGCCAAACTCACCCCAGCCTCCATAGACTCATTCGCCGAATTTAATAGATCATTTATGGCACAGTTCATTGGTGGACGCCGCCAACAAAAGCCTACCACCCATCTGCTCAACATAAAACAGGATCGAGACGAGAGTTTGAGGAGTTACCTCACTCATTTTAATGAGGAGGTCCTCCAAATCGAGGAGCCCAATAACAAAGTCACCATGACCACCTTTCTGGGAGCCCTCCACTCATCCAGATTCCTTTTTTCAGTAATAAAGCAACCACTAAAGAGCATGCCAGAACTATTGACAAAAGCTCAAAAATATATGAATACTGAGGAAATCAACAGGTCCAGGCGAGGTGAATCATCTCGCAGATCTCCAAAAGCTTGACCTGCCTCTGCATTGTCCTCAAACAGGCAGCCTTAGTATCCAGTTTAGCAACTCTCTCACGGGTCGCTAAAAGCTTGGCCTGCCTTTGCACTGTTCTTAAACAGACAGCCTCAATATCTAGCTTAGCGACTCTCTTTCAGGTCGCCAAAAGCTGAGTCNCCTTTGCACTGTTCTTAAACAGGCAGCCTCAATATCTAGCTTAGCGACTCTCTTTCAGGTCACCAAAAGCTGAGTCTCTGCGCTGTTCTCAAATAGGCAGCCTCAATATCAAGCTTACCGACTCTCTCGTGGGTCGCCAAAAGATTGGCTTTTGCATTATTCCTAAACAGGCAATCTCAATATCCAGCTTAGTGACTCTCTTGCGAGTCGCCAAAAGCTTGGCCTCTACACTGTTCTTAAACAGACACCCTATATCTCCAATTGAGCGACTTTTTCATGGGTCGACAAAAACTTGGCATCTACGTTGTTCTCAAACAAGCAGCCTATATCTCAAGCTTAAAGACCCTCTCATGGGTCGCTAAAAGCTAAGTCTCAAAAGGTGTAGTTATCTCATGAGCAATTTTTCAACTCTGTCTTTACTCTTGCGCAAACAGCCTACCTCTCCTTACAGGTAATTATGTGAGATATTTTAAAGTTTGGAATAACATTATTTTTGTCATCACAAACCAGGCTCCAAAGGCGCCTGATCCTATGTGTTCCCCAAACAAGCAGCTCAATACCTAGAGAGGTGTCTGATCCTATGTACTCGCCCAAACGAGGCAGCCCAGCACTTGGAGGGGTGCCTGACGCTCTATGCTCGTCCAAATAAGGCAGCTCAACACCTAGAGAGACGTTTGATCCTATGTGCTCCCCAAAACGAGGCAGCCCAAGACTTGGAGAGGTGCCTAATCCTATTTGCTTGCCCAAACGAGGCAGCCCAGCAACTAGAGGGATGCCTGACGCTCTTTGCTCACCCAAACGAGGTAGCCCTGCACCTGGGGAGATGCCTGATCTTATGTGCTCCCCAAACGAGGCAGCCCAATACTTGGAAAGGTGTCTGATCCTATGTGCTCGCCCAAACGAGGCAGCCCAGCACCTGGAGGGGTGCTTGACGCTCTATGCTCCCCAAACGAGGTAGCCTAGCACTCGGAGGGGTGCCTGACGCTCTATGCTCGCCCAAACGAGGCAATCTAGTACTTGGAGAGGTGCCTGACCACCTTTGCTCGCCCAAACGGGGCAGCCCAACGTTGCTTGACCCTCCAAAGTTGCACAAAATAGCTCCAAAGGCGCCCAGATCAGCGCCTAAAGTGGCACCACCAGCTCTTGATGCCTAGGCATCCCAGGCTGCACCTCCAGCTCCTGATGCTCAGACATCCCAGGCTGCACCTCTATCTCCTAATGCCCAGACATCCCAGGCTACACCTCCATCACTTGATGTCTAGGCATCTCAAGCTGTATCTCCAGCTCCTGATGCCCAGGCTCGCACTCAGGTAACCCCTGTCGGCGCCCAGGCTGTACCCCCAGGTCACCCAAGGCAGCCCCAGGCTCGCCCAGAACACTGCCTGTTCGCCCAAAATGCGCCCCTAGCTGCCTGATTGAAGTTTTGACCATAAATTTTACTCTGTAACTTCAAACAGGGGCTTATTGTATATCAAATCGAAACTCTTGACAAGCCCTACAAGACTCACAACCTCTGGCTATGAATGATAGTGTAAAAAGTCCAACAAAGGCCTAAAAACAGATATTTTGGCCTCCCAAAGTTTTTTTTAAAAAAAATTATGCCAAGCTCGTCCAGGACAGTGCCCAGCTCGCCCCAAAGCTACCTGCTCACCCAAACTGCTCGTCTAACTCTCTGCTTAAAGTTTTGATTGTAACTTCTATTCCGTTACTCCAAATGAGGTTTATAATATATCAAATCGAAACTCTCGGCGAGTCAATCAGTCAAAAATTCAAACTCAATTGAATGTCCTCCTTTCTAAGTTTCCATTGGACACAGGGCATTGAGGGACAAATAATGGGCTAAGCCCAAAGACCCAACTCATGTTATAAGTCCAGTTCAAGTTTATAGTCCGACTCCAAGAGATCCAGTGAATCCAGCCTAGTGTGGCCAACTCGGTCAAGCTCATCAGCTCCACCCGATCAAGCTTATCAGTAAGGTTAGCCCGGTCAAGCTCAGTAGCTCAAGCAGCTAAGGGAGCAAACAAAGTCATCCAAAGCCTTATCCTCGTTGCTCTAGAGATGGTCAACACCTCACCTCATCCTTTGACCGAATCTCATGGAGAGCATGTAACTGTCTCGCACGTTGAGAAGAGCTCACCAGATCCAACAAACTAACCAGTTAGTTGCTAACACCTCGCCCAAATCTGTTAAGATGGCGACTATAAATTGTAAGACCTACCAACACTTGGGGGGCATGACAACACACTTTACCTGAGCACGACTCTTTCCTCTCCCTCAAAGCTTGTACTCTCTGCTCTCCATACCTTTGAGCTAATAAAGTAGCCGACGACCAGAGCCATTCAAGAGTGGACGTAGGTCACATTGACCGAACCACTATAAATTGCTTGTGTCTCTCTATTTTTGTACTTTACTCTTACATTTATTATTCACACTTAACATGTGGTGTGCAAAACTATTTTGTGCATTATCAAATCTTAATTATGGTTATGTATGATTGTGAATTGTGAATTTTAAATTTGATTGAATTGTGGATTCAAGAGACTTTGAATTTTGGATTCAAGAGACTTTGAATTTTATAGACATGTTGTGAATTTCTTGGACTCGCTCCTATTGTTATAGTAATCTCTATTGAAATAGTCTCCAAAAATGTTATCATGTCTATATTGATTTCAATTTTTTTAATTAAATTAATTAAAAATAATTATTTTTAAAATTAATCAATTAATTTATGTTAGACCATGTCTTTAACCACGGATTAACCCTAGTTCATAATAAGTTCAACCCACAATCGCAAAGGGCCGAACGAGGACAAGAAGGGATAGCAGAACAAATGGAAGGGGCAATGGTGTAAAACCGAATGTGAAGTTTACGAAGGCCAGCCAAACCGAGCATACATCTCGCCACCATTCACCGGTAAGGTAGTTGAGACCTCCGCCCTCTTTCGATGCATTCGAGAAACCCAAAGAACCAACAAAACAAACCCATAGAAGAAACACCTTCAAATTTCTTCATTTCCACTGAAAACACACACACACACACATACTCTCTCTCTCTCTCTCTCCCCAGCCCCCCAAATGGCTCACCTGCTCAATACCACCTTCATCCCCACCACTTGCCCCTCCCTCCGCCGTCATGGCACCACTCTTTTCCCACAAACCCAAATTGCCACCACAAGAAAAACCCAAATCCAGTCCAAGATCCGGGAGATCTTCATGCCTGCACTGAGCTCAACCATGACAGAGGGCAAGATCGTCTCCTGGGTCAAGTCCGAGGGCGACAAGCTGTCGAAAGGCGAGTCCGTCGTCGTCGTCGAGTCCGATAAGGCCGACATGGACGTCGAGACTTTCTACGATGGCTATTTGGCTGCTATTATTGTTGAAGAAGGCAATTCCGCACCCGTTGGCTCCGCCATAGCTCTCTTGGCAGAAAGCGAAGACGAAATTTCCCAAGCCAAGTCCAAAGCCTCTGGAACTTCGTCTTCTTCTACCTCATCGTCTTCTCCGCCTCCTCCGGTGGAAGCAACGGCCGGCGATTCTGCTCCGGTGGGTCCGCCAGTAGTAGAGAAAACTGGTTCTAAAGTGATGGCCTCTTCCACACATCCGGCGTCGGAAGGTGGGAAAAGGGTTGTGGCATCGCCGTACGCGAAGAAATTGGCGAAGGAGCTGAAGGTGGATTTGAGTGGAGTGGTGGGAAGTGGGCCTATGGGGAGGATTGTGGCCAAGGATGTTGAGGCCGCCGCCGCTAGTGGTATTGCTGTTGTGGCGGAGTCGCTGCAGCCGAGTGTTAGTGCGACACCGGTGGCCAAAACTCCGGCCGGTGCCGGGATTGAATTGGGTTCAGTTGTGCCGTTTACAACAATGCAGGGTGCTGTGAGTAGGAATATGGTTGAGAGTTTGGCTGTGCCTACTTTTAGGGTTGGATACACTATTACGACCAATGCACTCGATGCTCTATACAAGAAGGTAACGGCCTTTTCTACTCAATGATGGATTAAAATCTGTGAAATTTTGTGACTATCTAGGAAGATTTCAATTTTTGTTGGTCCCAAAATTGAATTGGGAATTTCCATACTGAAAAATGGGAAGAAATTCTTTGTGAGCAAGAGATATAGATAGAATTATTTAAAGCTGGGCTCAAAGTTTGCTAATTCAGAGAAATTAGTACTCCGAGGGAATGTTTAACTTGACTAAAGTATTGTTGAATGGGATAGATGTTTAAGGACTCATTGTAATGTTCTAAAAATTCAGAGATGGTTATTTGTCAGTTGATTTTAAAATTGGTGAAATATGTGAAAACAAACAAAATTTCCTGAAAAAAATAAAATTTTCCAATCAGGATGAAACCTATTAAGTCAGATGAATTACTAGTCTGACTGGATTTATAACTTGACTCCAAAGTGGAACTTGAGAACAATGTGCTCAATTGATGGTACTGTTATGCATAATTTAGGTTCTTTCGAAGAATTATTAATTGCTTCATTTATTCATGCTTGTTTAGTAACTGATGTATGTTAGTTCGTATTTTAGATTAAGTCAAAGGGGGTAACTATGACGGCAGTGCTTGCAAAGGCAACAGCACTGGCATTGGTTAAACATCCTGTTGTGAATTCTAGCTGTAGAGATGGTAAGAGCTTTACGTATAATAGTAGTATCAACATTGCAGTTGCAGTAGCCATGGATGGTGGGCTGATTACACCAGTTCTTCAAGATGCTGATAAGGTTAAGAGTTACTTTGACTTTTTCGTGTCGTCATAGTTTCCTTGCGAAAGTTGAAATGATATGAAAAGGTTGATTTTTGCACTATTTATTCAGGTTGATATATACTCATTGTCAAGAAAGTGGAAGGTGTTAGTTGGTAAGGCCCGGGCAAATATGCTGCAGCCTCAGGAATACAATACAGGTACTTGGTATTCTCTTTACTTTCGGAATAGTTGTATAGGCCACAAGCAGCATTTTGAGGTATAGTGTGTGATATTTACTTTATTTGTTGGTGTCTCTATCATAATTAAAGTGGTGCTGATGTTTTTCTCGTCACTAGTATTTGAGACAAAGTAATATGCTGTTGTAGGGAAATAAAAGAGCATTATTTATTTGCGTTATACATGCCAATAGTTATTTTAGCTGTCTTGGAAACATTTGAACACAAGCATAGGTGAATTAATTTGATTGAAATCAAAAGCAGTCCGTGTACTGTGAAATCAAGTTGCTGCATATACATTTTATCTTTTTCTCATATGCCTGGGTTAATCCATATTCATCACTTGATACCTTTACATGACCTTTATTTTCCTTCCCTCTCTCCTGTGCTATACAGTGCATAGTTGCTATAAACATGTCTGAGGTGTAGTGTCTCCGTGTGTGTTTATTTTTATTTTTATTTTTTGGGGGCTAAGGGGGAGGGGGGATGTTTTCTTTTCACTTAATCTGTAATCCAGCTTTTCATTTCCTCAATTGCTCTTCTTAGGGATTGTGCAATGTGGGGCTGTAACTTCATTTGCGATAGCTGAACTTGTTATGTGAAAGTGAAAGACTAGCCTAAGTAAAACTATAAATGAGAATAATAAGGATTGAATGTGAAACTACTGGAAGATTTATTTCCGTGACAAGTGAAGATGGTTTGGGATTCCAATAGAGCTGAAAGATTCCTGAAAAAAGGCACCAAAAATGATTATATTTCTGATTTGTTTGCTACTCACCTCTTGGAGTCTAGTTGAGACAATATAAGAACCTCCTTGGTAGCTTCTTTTTCAGCTTCGAAGTTCCTTAGAGGCTCGTATCTGTATCTTTGTCTTTTTCCTGCCATTTAATTTCATTATAAATGGGTGATGGTGAAACTTCACACTGGTAATACTTCAGATATGATGCAGGTTGCTCTTTAATCTTTTCACCATATTATTCATGCTTAAAAAAGGCAAATACTATTGGAAAGGTCATCACTGCAAATTTCTTTTTAGTTTTATTTTATCATTATTTGCATTACTACGCTGTCTTTGACAAGTAACTAGTAATTGCCCGTGTCTCATAACGAAAAATTAAATTAAAACTCAAAGAATACTATATTGTCTAATTACACTTTACAACTTAAAACAAACTGTCAATTTAAAATAGTTTTTACTCTATTTGCTTTAATATAAGAAATTGAAATCAAGCTAGTCCATACTATTTTTCAGAAATTTCGATAAAATTTCATCTAAAAATAAGTGCCCAGAAACATATAAACATGTTTACAGAATTTACAATCTTCATAATACACCGTACTACCACAATTCAATCTATTTCCCCCAAAATAAGCAGTTTATACCAACGAACAAAACAACTATCAATTCACATGAAATCGAATATATCCTCATAACCATGTGCAATTAATTCATCGTACTAAACATGAAACAAACAAAACACATACAAACTTTACACAATACAATTAACTGGTCGGTATTTCAACAATTAAAAAATAAAATTGAAGCCCAAACACAATTATTAAGAATAGTAGGGTAGTATGTGTAAATTGTTAATAGTAAGAGGGTGTATGTGTAATTTTTATTATTGTGAGTTAACTATAAATACAAGTGATGTATGAGAGTTAGGTTAAGTTTTTAACCTCTCTCTCTATTTCTCTCTAAATATCGTCTCTAATTTTGTGTTAATTTTTCAAACTTAACACAGTATCAAAGCATAAACGATCCTAAATATATTAACACTGGAGCAAGATTGACCCAAAATTTAATTCAAGAATTATTTTTTTTGATATTGAGGAATTGTCGTTGTGATTGCTGCCGGCGATGTATGTCGTCATTGTGTTACGACGTGTATCGTAGTGTGTGATCGTGGTTGCCATTATGTTGTGGTTACCAGTGGTGAACATCATTCATGTATTGGTTTCTAGTGGTTGTCGTCGTTTGTGTATTGGTTGTGTTGACGCCTGTCATCGGTGGTCTGTTGTGGTGCCATTATCGCTACCAGAGTGGTTTGGTATTTCTGGTGTGGCTACTGGTGTGCTTTGGTTGAGGTGCCGTGATCGAGTTGTTGTCACTACTCAATTCCATTATTGTGTTGTCACTGGCAACTTCGATGGGTGTGTTGTGGTGGTTGGAAGTAGTTGTGGTCTGGGATTGGTCTGGTGTTACACACAGTCTGCAACTAGGGTTTAATAGAGCCCTACGACTTGGAGAAGACGAAGTCCGTTGGGAGTTGGGTTGATCCGTCGGCTTATAACCCATCAGAGGGTCACGGGCTCAATTTATTGCCTAGCCCAATCCTCAATTAATGGCCTAACCTAATTATTTGTCGGTCCACATGTTAAATTAATTGTCCAGCCCAATCCAAGGCCCAAAGTTCAAGCCCAAAACTTCAGGACTTCAGCCTAGCTCAGGTGAGCCCAACATACTTGGTTCAGGTTCAGACCGGTTCAATTCATCTTCAGACTGGTTTAGGCCGGTTCAGTAGTACAGAGAGCCTAGTCGGTCCGGTTCAGCGGTTCAGAGAGCCCAGCTCGTCCGGTTCAGTGGTCCAGCCCAGTTTTTCAACCCGATTCAGTGGTCCAGTCTGGTTTTCAGCCCGATTCAGTGCTCCAGCCCGGTTTTCCAGTTAAGTGCTCCAGCCGGTTTAGTGTAATTTGTTAATAATAAGAGGGTGTATGAGTAATTTTTATTATTGTGAGTCAACTATAAATACAAGTGATGTATGAGAGTTAGGTTAAGTTTTTAACTTCTCTCTGTTTCTCTCTAAATATTGTCTCTAATATTATGTTAATCTTCCAAACTTAACAATCAAAATGATGTTATTCCTATATAGATTATTAGAGAGAAAACTAAGATTTGAAACAATTTACCATGTATATCATACCAATAAAAAAATTTACCATACTTATAGTAACAATTCAACCCACCAATCAAATCAGAACTATAAACCACATTGCAATAAGCTCCACTAGCCGAATTATGAGTTCATGTAGAGATTGAGATATAACCCAATCTCTACGACTATAAGCTCCACCAAATTAATATCGTCCCATTATTTTTTTTAAAAAAAATTGATATAATTTTTTGTAAGGACATTTTTTTCCCCAAAGCCACCCAGTGTGGGTGGNTCGTCCCATTATTTTTTTAAAAAAAAATTGATATAATTTTTTGTAAGGACATTTTTTTTCCCCAAAGCCACCCAGTGTGGGTGGGGGTTTTGATAGGACCCCTCCTTGTATATATAACTAAAAGGAAAAAAGTACAAGGGAGGAGGATANGGGGGTTTTGATAGGACCCCTCCTTGTATATATAACTAAAAGGAAAAAAGTACAAGTGGAGGACATAGAACCAAACCTCTGGAAGTACAAAGTGGGAGGATCAAAGCAAAAGTAAGGTGGTGACTCATCACCAAAAACATGAAAAAAAACATAAATGAAAATAAAAACTCACAGACAAATCCTTCAAATTGAAATAGTTTTTCCTTTATTTATTTTAATTAAGGAAATTGAAATCAATATAATCCCTGCTATTTTTTAAAAAAATTTCGACATAGTTTTCTTTGAAAATAGAAACCCAAAGAAAACTAAACATGTTTACACTAACATCAATTGTAACACTGCATAACACAAACCATTGCATAGCCAATCTCAAGAATAAATTATTCAACCTAACTCAAAGAGAACATCAAAGTTTAGTCATTACACAATTCAAACCAAAATAACCTTTATATAACAAAAGTCAGAATCACATGTTATACATGCAAGTTCAACTAAAGAACTAAATCCACATAAATAAGAATCCTTTGGTTTGAACATTCCATATTTTGAAGTATCGGTCAATAATAAAATTGCAACCCTTAGCAATAGAACAAAATCAAGTCAAAGATTAACATTTAAAATTTTTTTTTGAACACAAAACCAAAACCAAAACCAAAACAGTATTTATCGTACGGTATCTCAAAGAATTCATCTATCCAGAGAGAACTATTGAGTCTTTTCAGCCTTCCAGGAGTTGAGAAAAACAAAAATCTATAATACATGAAACAATGTGAACCACCATTGATGGACTGATTAAACATTAATCCAAACATCAGAATTTTAAGTGAACAAAAACATTCATATTCAACTAAAACAATTCAAAATACCAACAAACAATAAAAAAGGTAGTGTGTGAATTGAGATGAAATTCATGAAAATGAAATTTGGGAAAAATAATAAATTCACTTCATTCATGATACCTTGTCTACACCACTCGCAGTGTATATAGAAATTCAATAGTATGTCATTGTCTCTATGTAAATAATCAAAACACCAGCCATGCACCAAAACACAAACCAATCAAAGAATGGTAATTATATTTGAAAAAACAAATGATTTGCACATTTTGCTTAAAAACAGTTTCAAACCATGCTTCCTAAGAACACCAAACTCACAATATACTTTAAATTTGCAATAACTGTCAAGAACACAAAGTAACATTTGTTTTCCGTATAGTACATTAATTTGACGAACTCATGCAAAGTTCTATGAATATTTTACCTCTAGTAATTTGGACCAAGAAGTAGAGTTGAATAAAAAAAGTTGATACNGAACTCATGCAAAGTTCTATGAATATTTTACCTCTAGTAATTTGGACCAAGAAGTATAGTTGAATAAAAACAGTTGATCCGAGAACCTAAAACAATTCAATAATGAAAAAGGCAAAAAGTTGGCAAAAAGATATCAAGATACAAATTCAAGATAGTGAAATAGAAAACAACCAAAACTAAATAATAAACCAAGTATAGTACTTTGTTCTNCGAGAACCTAAAACAATTCAATAATGAAAAAGGCAAAAAGTTGGCAAAAAGATATCAAGATACAAATTCAAGATAGTGAAATAGAAAACAACCAAAACTAAATAATAAACCAAGTATAGTACTTTGTTCTTTCCGTATAGAGCCCAAAATAGATTTTGCAATGGATGGGACTTAAAGGCACTTTCATTAAAAAAAAAAAAAGAATCAATTTGGCGGCTATCAAGTAACATTGTTTGTCATTGCACCAAATAACTCTAAAATTAAGTGTTCTATCTACATGGTCAGTTGTTAGGTTAATAATATATTTTCAAAAAATCAGTTTGTAAAAATTGAGCANAGTGGTTGTCGTCGTTTGTGTATTGGTTGTGTTGACGCCTGTCATCGGTGGTCTGTTGTGGTGCCATTATCGCTACCAGAGTGGTTTGGTATTTCTGGTGTGGCTACTGGTGTGCTTTGGTTGAGGTGCCGTGATCGAGTTGTTGTCACTACTCAATTCCATTATTGTGTTGTCACTGGCAACTTCGATGGGTGTGTTGTGGTGGTTGGAAGTAGTTGTGGTCTGGTGTTACACACAGTCTGCAACTAGGGTTTAATAGAGCCCTACGACTTGGAGAAGACGAAGTCCGTTGGGAGTTGGGTTGATCCGTCGGCTTATAACCCATCAGAGGGTCACGGGCTCAATTTATTGCCTAGCCCAATCCTCAATTAATGGCCTAACCTAATTATTTGTCGGTCCACATGTTAAATTAATTGTCCAGCCCAAT